TTTTATCTTGGCAACAGCCTCACAAATACTACATGTGCAAATGACTTTCCAGATCAGCTTTAACAATTCTACGTGCCCTCATTATTTTATAATTTCTATACCAGAATATGTAATCAAAATGATGATAGATAAAAATATATAAATTCCCTTTGAAATATGCTGGATTGTTTTGTACCAAAGTCATCCCAGAATGTTACTTTTTCCCAAATTTCTGTATCTTGTATTCACCAAGTAGAATATTAGATTAGGAAATCCTAGTATGATTTATAATCTGATAAATATAAATCAGTTCAGGAAATTCTCCTAATTCTTTGCTTGAAATACGTTTAAGAATCATGTAGATTATCTGGATTTTTTTTTAGTGTTTCACCATAATCATATAAGAAATACATGGCATTCCCATTGGCAGTGTATCCTTTACAGTAATATATTAGTGAAATTGAGGTGTTCTAAAGAGGAAGGTCATTATCATTAAATCACTGCTGTTTCTATAATAAGCAACCGCCCCCCCCCAAAAAAAACTACCTACAGAACCAACAAGGAGGTATGCCACCCACTTCGGACCCTCATGAAGCAAAAGCGATCTTTTCAATACCTCTTAATGTGCAATGATCATTTTAACTCAGAGATAAATACACATAAAAGATAGGGTTGAAATCTCATTTCTGAGGTGAAAATAAATTAGCTTTGGGGCAATTTCTCCTTCACAGCATATTATGGGGTCGTGCCAGCAGGTCACAGATGCACACCCCATGAGGAGCCTAAAAAGACATCTGCAAGGAGGGGAAAATGCAGTTTATATTTAAAGTGCAATGTAGTAATGAAATGTTAACCACCCCTCATATGAATGTTTCAAATATTTCAAAAAATCTTTATGTACACTTTCTTTTTCCATTCCAGAATAATGATGAACAAAAAAGTTCTAGCTCATGTATCCTTGTTGAACAACTAAATGGAGAGAGAAAAGGACACAAGAATGAGCTAGAGATAAGGAGAGGAGAAGTGAGGGANTTGAGAGCGAGGTAGTACTTATTTGGGATTATATAAATGTCAATTCTAGAAAATTAGTTAAGGGAAAAGATTATACTCTATAGCTGCATAAACAGATGGTTGGATACAGAAATAAGAACAGATAATCTTTGTTTGGAACTCCAGCTATGTAATTCCGGGCAAGTATCTAAACCTGTCTGAGTAATATTTATTGTGAGGATTAAATGAAGTAACAAATGCAAAGTGCCTAACAATTAGTGGGTCACCAACTATGCTAACTCCATTTTCTTCCCCTACATTATCACTAATGGAATCTCCTCACTGGTGCTTACTGCTAGACAATAGGTACAAAATGATTTAAGATTTTCCTATCTTAAACAAAACGAAATAAACAATAACAAAAGATAAGAGAAACATCTCGTCAGTATATTTTATTGAATCCTGTGCTGAAATTGCCAATATTTATTGGACAAATGAAGATGATTACATTGCATTAAGAAAACATACGTGACTAGATCAGTACACTTGGTCTCATACATCATCATGAAAATGAACTCTAGGATCTGAGGTTAGGTGATGAAACGGAAAAAGTTACTACCTGTATAAGACAGAACAAATAAGGAATGGATTTTGGGAGTATAATCAGATTTTGTGGTCAAGAAATAAACTTTCATTTAACAATTATTTACTGAGCATTCACTGTGTACCAAATACTGTGCTTCACTGTGAAAGCATAAGGACAGGATAAAATTATTTTAGTTTCCTTCTTAGATATGAGGACAAGGAGGTAGTGAGGTAAATGAATGAGAGTACAGCCCAAAAAGAAAAGCGGAAGTTTCCAAAACAGAAGCAGAGATAAATAGTCAAAGCAGGAGAAAATGAGCATGTGTGAGCATGTATATTAATAATGTTGTACACTTAACTGCTTAATGGATTTGGGTACTTGTTAAAGATGATTCATAATAAATCAAAACTAGCGGTCAGTACATTCTTAATTTTAACTTTGCATTTACACTGTGTTCATAATGCAATGTAATCATCTTCATTTGTCCAATAAATATTGGCAATTTCAGCACAGGATTCAATAAAATATACTGACGAGATGTTTCTCTTATCTTTTGTTATTGTTTATTTCGTTTTGTTTAAGATAGGAAAATCTTAAATCATTTTGTACCTATTGTCTAGCAGTAAGCACCAGTGAGGAGATTCCATTAGTGATAATGTAGGGGAAGAAAATGGAGTTAGCATAGTTGGTGACCCACTAATTGTTAGGCACTTTGCATTTGTTACTTCATTTAATCCTCACAATAAATATTACTCAGACAGGTTTAGATACTTGCCCGGAATTACATAGCTGGAGTTCCAAACAAAGATTATCTGTTCTTATTTCTGTATCCAACCATCTGTTTATGCAGCTATAGAGTATAATCTTTTCCTTTAACTAATTTTCTAGAATTGACATTTATATAATCCCAAATAAGTACTACCTCGCTCTCAATTGCATGCTTAATTTCACTTAAAGATGAGAAAAGAAAGACCTTTCTATTTACTATGTGTCATTGTAATGAAATTTCACAAAGGGCACCAGAAGGGACCTAGGCCATTACATTAAATAGTCACAATAAGTCTGTCTCGGAAGGTCATTATCATTAAATCACTGCTGTTTCTATAATAAGCAACCGCCCCCCCCCAAAAAAAACTACCTACAGAACCAACAAGGAGGTATGCCACCCACTTCGGACCCTCATGAAGCAAAAGCGATCTTTTCAATACCTCTTAATGTGCAATGATCATTTTAACTCAGAGATAAATACACATAAAAGATAGGGTTGAAATCTCATTTCTGAGGTGAAAATAAATTAGCTTTGGGGCAATTTCTCCTTCACAGCATATTATGGGGTCGTGCCAGCAGGTCACAGATGCACACCCCATGAGGAGCCTAAAAAGACATCTGCAAGGAGGGGAAAATGCAGTTTATATTTAAAGTGCAATGTAGTAATGAAATGTTAACCACCCCTCATATGAATGTTTCAAATATTTCAAAAAATCTTTATGTACACTTTCTTTTTCCATTCCAGAATAATGATGAACAAAAAAGTTCTAGCTCATGTATCCTTGTTGAACAACTAAATGGAGAGAGAAAAGGACACAAGAATGAGCTAGAGATAAGGAGAGGAGAAGTGAGGGAGAGAGAAGGAGAGAGAGAGAGGGAAAGAAACTGAACTTATTACATAATTGATAATAAGAGACAGATAATATCAGTATGAGTAGTTTTATCTATAACTCATTCCTCTCCTGATTTTGACACAAAACTGAATTCAAATATGCTCTTGCTAAATCTTATGACATTGTCATAAAAAATTTCTTAGTTTTTTTTGTTTGTTTGTTTTCATTATAAGAGAAGGAGAGAGAGAGAGGGAAAGAAACTGAACTTATTACATAATTGAGAATAAGAGACAGATAATATCAGTATGAGTAGTTTTATCTATAACTCATTCCTCTCCTGATTTTGACACAAAACTGAATTCAAATATGCTCTTGTTAAATCTTATGACATTGTCATAAAAAATTTCTTAGTTTTTTTTGTTTGTTTGTTTTCATTATAATTTCTGTTATGTCCACTGCCAAGGATAGACATGAATCATGTCAAGCCCATTAACCACAAAGACTATGTCATTGCCTCATGGCTCATGGGTCATTGTTCAGCCATATATGGATCATTGACTCTGGTACCCCAGGTCATTCAGGTAAAATCAAAACCAAACAATATGTTTTTTTAATAAATCACTTACAGAATTCACAAAAAAGCCAGGGTTATTCTTTTAAGAACCTAATATTGCACAGATATTTTCTTTAATAGTCACTATTTCCAGAATTTACAGTTTAATGAGAGAGACACAGAGCAAAAAAGACAGATGAAAGGAATCCAAATCAGAGAAAACACTTTAGAAATTGTTTATCTTATAGGTTATCAAATATTTTTAGAAGACAAATATATTTCCTTGGAAAACACTTTGAAAATTCTTCCTTTCTTATGATCACAGAGTACATAATTTACTCCCACCTCACCTCATTAAATAAATCATTTTATTGTTTGTCTGTCTGCATGCTAGATATTCAAATTGAACAGGGACCATGTCTTTTCATCCTTTTGTCTATCCTTTAGTCCTTAATAAATATTTTCAGAGTAAGTGAAAGAATGAATAACAAATTCTTTCAATGTTTTAGTAGGAGAAAAATTTCTATTAAAAATGGTACTAATTGTATGATCGTTTGACAAGCTATTGATTTTTTCTGTGATATTAACATGCCCTATGGCTGATCAAATTTTGCAAAGTAACCCATGCAAATGACAGGGTCTACTTCCCCATGGATATGCTGAGAGCCACAATCATGATCTCCTTCCTCTCTTAGCATGCATTTCAGAAAGCCAGTCAATTGGAAATATACAATTGATTTTTTCTGTGATATTAACATGCCCTATGGCTGATGAAATTTTGCAAAGTAACCCATGCAAATGACAGGGTCTACTTCCCCATGGATATGCTGAGAGCCACGATCATGATCTCCTTCCTCTCTTAGCATGCATTTCAGAAAGCCAGTCAATTGGAAATATACAACCATTCAATAAGAGATTATTCCCAACCTTAAGCAAAGTAATTTGGTATAGAAATGAAAGTAAAATTATGCCTTTCTTATTCTTTCATTTTATTCTTTTGATATGGTTTTGGGGTTTAGAGAGGTTTAAAAGATTAGTAGGTAAAGTATCTGATGAATGTAGGAAGCAAAGCCCACAGAAAGTATCAAGGTATAAGGAGGCATTGAAGTGAGAAACCAGAGAAAAGAAAGTAAAGAGTGCAAGTAAAGAGATTGGCAAATTATTTTACAGAGTTCCATGTGTATGATTTTTATCTGATAAGCAATTTTTTATATGTAATATTTATTTGAGATACTCCAAATATTAGACATCAACTTAAAATGAGATTTGATAGATTTACAAAATTACTAACCTTCTTTGGTACAATTGATTTGGGTTTCATCACTGAAGTCTCCACAGTCATTGTCACCATCACAGGCCCAATGGCCTGGGATACATCTGCCACTGGAACATCTGAACTGATTATCAAAGCAAGACAGAACACAGCCAGCCTCATCACTCCCATCCCCGCAGTCGTCATCTGGAAAGAAACACCAATGTCAGGTAGTGAAAAATGATCCAGGGTGAAAATTTTTCTAATGAAATATCTTTTTTTATGCTATATAGACTTTGCATTTGTTTTTGAAAAAGGAATGACGAGTCAGTGGATCAACATTTTCCATGAATGGTGGGAGAATTATTCCTCTTCTGATTTAATATCAACTTCTAAACTAAGAGAAAAAAAAAATCCTTGACTTTGGATTTTGAAATTATTTCTATTTCAGTCAGAAATAACCATGACTGAATGCATTTATGGAGAATGATACAAGGGGAGGATACAACTAGTGATATAATAATTGTGGAAAATTATTATTTAAACCCATAATCCTGGACTGGGCAGTTACTCAGTTGGTTAGAGCATGGTGTTATAACACCAAGGTCGAGGGTCTGGATCTCCATACTGGCCAGCTGACAAAAAAGAAAAAAAAAAAAAAAAGAAGGAAAGAAAGAAAAAGGAAAAAAAACCCCATAATCTCTATATCCCAGACTTTATATCTTTAATTTAGTCTCTTCTTCCTCATCCTCCAACATTAGAACCCACTGTGTGCCCCTCCTCCACTGGCTCTTATATGTGTATTTATATTTGGAAATTGTTGTGTACTATTATTAGAAATGATTTCTATTCTTTATTAACGACCACTTCAGGAAGAAGGTGAGAGGACTATAAAGTGAAAGTAGATTAACTTGAAATAAATGACCGAGAATGCATTGATTCATATGTAATTTGTTTACCTGTATTTGGCATAATTTAGCAAAATGATACACTTGAGTGTAAGAAAAAACATAATTTGTGCATAAAAAGCAAGGTGATGGAGTTGAGGCTATCTGTATAATTCCATAATAATTTAAAACTACTCCATCCTGAGGTTACATAAATGCTTTGGGGAACCTGAGTTGTGCAGGTCATTTCTTTTGAATTTCCTTTCCTGTTTGTACTTCATGTTTGTAAACTTCGACTATGTCCAATATAATGTCTGAAAACAAATCTCTATAATAGCCCCATGGGACAAATATTGAGCTCCATTATCTTTAATGCTAATCCCCAATGATGTGCCAGCTGCCTTCTTTACCACTTGTCTTAGCCATTTTGCTTGACTCCACAAGCTTCTCTTACAAATCACCTTTGAAGGAAGCCCGGCAGCTCAGACTGCCAGATCCCCAATCAATCAGTGTTGTACAGTGAATATTTGATACTTGCCAGAGTCACAGTGCCATTTGCTGCTAATGCATCTTCCACTTTTGCATATAAATTGAGTTAGTGGCTCACAAGTTGGAAATTCTGTGAAAGGTATAAAAACGTCCAATAGGAAACATGTTATTGACTGTGCTTGACTTAATTTGTATTTCATTTGCTAATTTGATCAGAACTCTTTCCCTGTTCTCCACAAAGGCACAGAAGAAACAGCAGATAAACAAATACAGTGACTGTAACTTCTTGAGGACATAGGATACACATTCTTTTAATATCTTCTAAATGAGTACTTTGCAGTGACTGAATGCCTAGGATAATCATGTGATGAAGGATCATTTAGATTCAATATACTGGAGAAAAATGAATAGATGTTAACTCTGTACACCAGGGGAATCAACCTTCACTCAGAGGATACCAGCTGATGGCTCTACATGCTGTTACTGCAAAGTAATGTGTTCATGACTTAATAGAGGAAGGTCTTTTCTGAATGCACACAAACAAAGCAGGAAAGTCAAATCTAATTCTGCTTCTGGGAGATGCCAATATCACAAGGTGAAAGTAAAAGAATCAAGTAAATAAAATCAATTTAGTTAGTATCATATAGTTACAAAGACTTTGAAAGTATGAATTGTGAATATAAAAAAAAATCACAAAAAAATAAAAAAAAACAAAGAATTAGATTTCAAAATGTAATTTTACCCATTTAAACCAAAAGATCTCCTTTCCTAATCTTCAGTTAATTAAAACAAAAATACATAGAATCAGCACAGAAAACAGGTCTTAAAAAGAGATAATTAGCAAGTTTGAAGGATTAGTAAATCCAAAAGACAATATTGTCATAATGAGATCCACAAGTCAAGGCTGATTACAAAAAAAAGTAATGATAATCGGAGAAAAACATTTTTACCAAACAGTTCATCCAAGCAATTCAGAGTAGCTTACTAATATTTCCCAGGAGAAAGTTTTATTCTTTCTATTTCATAAATGGTAAAGTAATTCACCTAGAGTTTATGTGAGTTGCTCAATACCAGTGCTTTTAACTCCCAGGAGAATATGCATGGAATCATAAATCCACACACAAGAGCTCATATTATACACATTAGAAATAACAGAAAAAGAAGGAAAAAAATAATCAGTTTTTTGATATAAAGACAGAAGAAATTGATATACCGAGATAGATCTGTGGTCTATATTCTATACCAGAACTTTTAGCTCCCAAGAGAATATGCATGGAATAATAAATCCTCACAACAAGAGCTGATTTTATACACATTAAAAAAACAGAAAAAGAAGAAAAAAAAAAGCCATCAGTTTATTGATATAAAGACAGAAGAAACTGATACACTGAGATAGAATTAGAAGAAATTGATATACCGAGATAGATCTGTGGTCTATATTCTATACCAGAACTTTTAGCTCCCAGGAGAATATGCATGGAATAATAAATCCTCACAACAAGAGCTGATTTTATACACATTAAAAAAACAGAAAAAGAAGAAAAAAAAAGCCATCAGTTTATTGATATAAAGACAGAAGAAACTGATACACTGAGATAGAATTGTGCTCCATATTGTTCCTCTCACAAATCAAGCCAATACAATTCTGTGGCAAAAAATTGTTTTCCTATTTAAAACATTTGACTTAGGATCATAGGACATATTTAATAAAAGAGATCATAAATACTTTTAAATTGTATTCTGTAGGATGTCTCAGGGCTACCCAAGATAGCCGCTACCTGAGCAGGCTGGACTTTGGCTGTCCAAACTCCTTCTATTCACCTTATATCTATCTATATATATTTGACCAATTGATCAATCGATTGATCAATTGAACTATTTATCTATAGTTTTAATTTTGGAGTTATGAGTACTATTTTATTTGGAGAAAAGTATACGAGTAAGAAAAATGTATTTATCTCCTTAAAAAAATGAAAACCACTGATTGTGTCCAATCGTTTTAGCTCTAAGGCAACTGAAACTCAGAAAAGTTAGGCTTGCCTAAGGTTGCATGTACCCCCTTAAGGAAAAACAGGTCTTAAGAGTTCAGTTCTTCCAGTTCTGCATGCATTGTTCTTTTTAGCACATTCTATTGCCAATTTCCTATCTCATTTTCACTTATCATCCATGAATGTATCTAAACTGTTATTTTATTGTACCTATATTTTAGCATGTATTAAGCATAAAAATTAAACATTTTTCTTAAATTGTTTTACTATGCAGAGCCAGCACGACCACCACGTGCTCCAAGATGACTGCGTGCAACAGAGCAGGTAGGCGCCAACACGGGACCACCCCCAGTCCAGGCGACTGTGAGCCACCCACAGAGGCCCGTGCAGAGAGGCCTGGGAGCCACCATGACCACCATGCATCCCTAGATGCCTGCACATACCAGAGCAGGTAGGCACTGATGCAGGACCACCCCCGGCCCAGGTGAGCGCATACGACCCAGAGAGGCCCCCACAGAGAGGCCCAGGAGCTGCTGCGACCACCATGTGCCCCGAGACACCCGCATGCTGAGGCAGGTAGCTGCTACTACTGGACTCCTATCCAAGTACAGTCCCTAAAGCCCAGAAAGGCCCAAGCTTCCCACTTACAGGCACTGAAGCAGCCATACCAAATTGGCAGTCCCAGCAGGATTCTACCCAGACAGTAGGGTCAATTGACTGGACTGCGAAATCCCTTGCCACAATGACTAAACACCAAATGAAAGATACCAGAAATATGAAAAATCAAGAAAGTACACCACTAAAGGCTAATAATAACTCTCAAGCTCTAGATCCTATAGAACAAGAAGCCCTTGAAATGACTGACAAGGAATTTCAAGTGATAATTCTGAGGGAACTAAATGAGATATAAGAAAACTCAGCCAGACAGCACAATGAAATGAAGAAAAGTATACAGGACCTGAAAGAAGAAATGTACAAGGAAATCAATACCCTAAAAAAGAATGTAGCAGAGCTTGCAGAGCTGAAGAATTCATTCAACAAAATAAAAAACACAAATGAGAGTCTAACCAGCAGGCTTGCAGAAGCAGAAGACAGAATTTCTGACCTTGAAAATGGGCTGTTTGAAACAACACAGGCAGACAAAAAAAAGAAAAAAGAATTAAAAACATTGAGGAAAATCTAAGAGAGATAACAGACAACCTTAAACACTCAAATATCCAAATCATGGGTATTCCAGAAGGGGAGGAAAAAGGAGATTGCACTGAAAACATACTCAACAAAATAGTGGCAGAAAACTTCTCAGGTTTAGGGAAAGACACAGATCTTCGGATTCAGGAAGCACAAAGATCCCCAAACGTACTTAACCCTAAAAGGTCACCTCCAAGACATGTTATAGTCAAACTGGCAAAACTCAAAGACAAAGAGAGAATCTTAAAAAGCTGCAAGAGAGAAGCATCAAGTCACCTATAAGGGAACCCCAATCAGCCTAACATCAGGCTTTTCATCAAAAATCCTAAAAGCCAGAAAGGAACAGGATGATATATTCAAAATATTAAAAGACAGTGATTGCCATCCAAGAATACTTTACCCAGCAAGGCTCTCCTTCTGAAATGAAGGGCACATAGTATATTTCTAGACAAACAAAAACTGCAGGAATTCACTACCACATGACCACCCTTACAAGAAATTATCAAGGGAGTACTGAGTTTGGTACCTGAAAAATAATCACCACTGCCATAAAAACTCAACAAAAACAAAAACCCACTAGTAAAATAAAAATGCCAACAATGAAGAGAAAAAAAAAAAAAAAGAAAGAAGTTTATCTACCACCCCAAGAAACCAACAAATAGAGAAGACAATCAGTAAATCGGAAAGAAAGGAACAAAAGACATGTAAGACATCCAAACAAAAATCAGTAAAATGCTAGGAGTAAATCAACACTTTTCAATAATAACTCTTAATGTAAAAGATTAAATTCCCCACTCAAAAGACACAGACTGACTGACTGGATTTAAAAGGTGGACCCAACTATATGTTGCCTTCAAAAGACTCACCTCACCTGTACAGACACACATAAACTAAGAGTGAAAGGATTAGAAAAGATATACCATGCAAATAGAAATGAAAAACAAGCTGGAGTAGCTATTCTTATATACGATAAAATAGACTTTATACCAAAAGCGATAAAAAGAGATAAAGAAGACCACTATATAATGATAAAAGGATTTATCCATCAAGAAGATATAATAATCATAAATATATATGCACCCAACATCAGAGCAGCCAGATTTATAAAGCAAACTCTATTAGACCTAAAGAGTCAGATAGACACTAATACCATAATAGCAGCATACCTGAACATTCCATTATCAATATTGGACAGATCATCTAGGTAAAGAATTACTAGAGAAACACAAGATCTAAACAACACTTTAGAGAAATTGGACTTGGCAGATATCTACAGAACATTCCATCCAACAACCTCAGAATATTCATTCTCATCAGCACATGGAACATTCTCCAGGATAGTTCACATGTTAGGGCAGAAATCAAGTCTCAACACATTAAAAAAAGTTGGAATTATCCCATGTATTTTTTCAGATCACAATGGATTAAATTTAGAAATCAATAGCAAATGAAATTCTGGAAACTATACTAACACATGGAAATTAAGCAGCATTCTACTTAATGACATATGGGTCCAAGAAGAAATTAAACAGGAAATCCAAAAATTGATTGAAACTAATGAGGACAATGATACATCATATCAAAACCTGTGGGATACCACAAAAGCAGTACTAAGGGGGACATTTATCACATTAAATGCTAACTTCAGAAGAATGGAAAGATGCAAATAAACAATCTTGTACTTCGCTGTTATCAGAAGGCTCGCAACAAAGAAAAGCCCAGGACCAGACAGGTTCACTGCAGAGTTCTGCCAGAGCTTTAAAGAGTAATTGATACCAATTCTCTACAAACTATTCCAAAAGATTGAAACAGAGGCAATTCTCCCAAACTCATGCTGTGAAGCAAACATCACCCTGATACCAAAACCAGACAAAGATACAACAAAAAAAGAAAACTACAGGTCAATATCATTGATTAATATAGAAGCAAATCCTCAAAAAAAAAAATACTAGCT